CATAGAGGCACCTCTACATGCTCTTTATTAATGTGTTTATTCAGTACGATAGTAAAGTCCCCGAACACCCAGTTAATAAATCAACAATGAACAAATAAATTAATAAAGAGCATGTAGAGTTTCCTCTACTTATTTAATGAATTTATGTATAATTTTAAATTTTGTTAAAAAGTAAAATATATTTTATATATTCTGCATCGTTGAGCATTCTTTTTTTTCAAGAGGAACTTATTCAATAAAATAAAAATCCTTATTTTAATTAAAAATATAAATCTTTTTTAATTATTGATTCTATGTACATATATTTTATTTGTAATGTTATGTTTAATATGTAGGAATTCAAATTAATTGCTCACAAATTAATAAACATAAGTAATTAATGAAATACGAATGAAATTACCTAAGCATTATAAACTTAAAAATTTTATTATCATTTATATAAAATTTTTTCATTAAATTCAAAATAAAAATTTGTTAAATAGAAACTCTTTTGTCAATTAATCACTTCTTTTATTTTTCTACCATTATTTTTTCTACCATTATTTTTTCTACCATTCAATCTTTATTTTTTTTTTATCTAGCACTTGTATGGCTAACTGTATATTTTTCGTATAGCTAGTTATATTCATTCTCAAAAAGGTTAATAATTCCTTTTGTTAATCAGTGAGTTAGTATAAATAATAGTCATTAAAGTGTTCGATGTTATTTAACTGTTATTATTAAATACAAATATAGTATTACTAATTGTAGAAAAATATTAAATTTTTGATAAAGTTGATGTAGTTGATGAATTATAAATGGCCAAATGAAGTAAATGGAGTAAATGATGATGAAATAGAAGTAAATATAGTAGGTAAAATATCTGGAATTATTATAGTGAAAAATTTTAATAAGAATAAACCTTTTTATACTTCTCAGAATTTGTTTTAAAGGAACTCTATATTTATAAAATTTAGAATCTTTTACTGTCTATATCTTTTTACTAATAAAACTGTTTTTTTTTCTCTTTATTCCAAATAACAAATTCAATAGTACTACCCAAGTCTATGTCAAATTTTATATTATGAGTTTCTCTTTCCAAAATAAGTTTATTAATTCAACTTTCTTTATCATTCGTTTCTAGAAGCATTAATTCTACAATAATACAATTTTTAATATTTTTATGTGGGTTTTTAGTATTTCATATCTTCATATTCTCAATAATAGGGTCATGGGTTATACTTATATGTTTAATAAGATTTTGAAAATCAATTTTCCTCTAAAAATACCATATATAGAAATTTTTACAATAAGTGCTATTATTTATTATTTTAGAAAATTGTCTATTTTTTTTCTACTAAAATTAGAATTCCATATCATTACTCGAGAATTTTTCTTATCATTAATGCTTTAAAAATAATTTTTACTTATAGTAATTAAGTCTTTCATCGCCTGCAATTTTATATTATCCCCAACAAAAGTGAAATTATTTCCAAATAGGGTATTATGATCTAAATCTATTAGAATCCGCCTTTTACAACTAATAGGATTAATGAAATTTTTTCAACTCTCATCATTGTCTTTACTTTTTGATTTATTGAAAAGGATATTCTTTTTTTCATTGAAATCTTTCATACACTTATTTGTTGAATTAGTATATCTTTTATATCTTATTTTTTTTTTTACTCCTACTGTTCTCTTCTTTTTTATCTCTCATTGTTTCTAACTTCTTGCAAATGTTCATTCTATGTTATTTTAGTCTTCCATAAAGTTTATAATATTATTTTTTTATTTTTAGTTTAAATAAATAATTTAAAAAAATTAATATACATATATATAATATTTTCTACTTATAAATTTTATAAGTTCTAATAAAAATTCATTTATTTTAAAGTGAATATAATAAATATAATTAGGTAAATAAGAATATAAATAAATGTTTTAATTTATAAATAAAATTTAATAAATGAAGAGAAAGCTCATATAATAACGTTCTAATTATATATTATATTTTCTCATTTTAATTAATATTTTGAACCTGTAATTTTTTGTATACTGAAATTGCAATTTATTTTATTTTTCCAACTTTTTTATTAAATAAATGTAAATTAATTTATCAATAATCTTCTTGAAAAAATTTACACAAGATGAATAAACAACATCGTTAATTAGTCTTCATATTTTAATATGATTTTATATATCAGAGTTAAATTTTGTTATATTCATGGTTGATTTTTAGAAAAAAATTATATTTTTTTCATGTAAATATCAAGAAATGCATGCAATGAAAGGATAAAAAAGATATCAATCAATTTTTTTATTAACAAATTTATGCATATTGCTCTTAATTTATTTCAATTAAATCTACAAAAATAAATATTAATTTAAAAAAAAATATATTTTATTTTAATTTTTTTTATTAATGATTTTATGATAAACATAAATTATATGAAAAATTCATCGTTATAAAAAAAATAGATATAATAGTCATAAAAAATGTAATAATTTTTCACTTTTAAAAGTACTATATTTAATAGGGATAACAATTATAACTATAAATAAAAAATAAATTTTAATATTGGTTTTACAAAGAATCATAATAAATTTATCCTCATTTTTATTGTAGTTAAACTTAAATGTGAATAATATATTTTATTTTTGCTATTTTAATAATAGATAAATAAAATAAACTAATTTAAAATAAATAAATTGTTTATTATAGCATTTATAATTCATTAAATAAAAACATATTAACTCAATATTTTTATTATTTTTAATATATTAATTATTTTATAAGAGGTATCAATCAAATTTAATAATGAATTATTCATATTTTTAATAAAACCTAATTATTAATATAAAATTCATTAGTTATATATATGATAATTTTATTTCTACTAATTTATCACTTTTTATAAAACCTGTGATCACTCCAAATAAAAATAATACTTTATCAAAAATAAATAATTCGTTTTCTTGAAAATCAAGTGTTATAACAATTAAGAAATTATATAAAATATTATCAATAACAAGTATAATTAAAGAAAAAAAGTTAAAATTTATTTATTTATGCAACAATATTTTCAAATATAATATTAAGGTATTCTCTTAAATAATTATCCTTTCAAGTTAACCCTCTATTTTGCACTGAATTATGAATTAAATTATTTTAAAGAGCTAATATGTTTCAAAAATTATTTTTCTAAATATATAATTTAAAAAAAATAATATGTATTTTTTCTTTCATTCAAATAAAATCATTAAAAAAAAAATTTTCTTTTGAAGAAATATAATTTAATTAGTTACGTACATTCCAGTAAACAGTTTGCATATTAGTTTTACTATAATTATTCTATTTTTCATATAAAATTTATATTTATATATAAATATATATATATATATATAAAACGTGTTATATTCCTTTTTATCAATAAGAATTAATTAATAATTAAGTTCTTAATATTTAAGTTTATTCAATAAGTGTAAAACATATAAATTATCAAGCCACATATAATTAATAAATCACATGCATCTTTAATTTTATTTCATCGTATTTTTAAGATTTACATTTAATATCCAAAAAGTTTAAGTAAAAATTAAAATATATATAAATTTTATTTAGTTTTGTTATATAATAATTGTAACTTAATTCATATATATATATGTGCCATATAAGTATTCATCTTTTTTCTTAATATATATTTTTTTATAATAAAACATGTGGATATGTATACAAATTCTGTTTTATTTTCAATTTTGCTTTTTTATTTACGAAAATTTAACAAATATATAAATTCATGATTTAATTAAAATGCATTCAATGCCTTTAATATAGTTATTACAATACAATTATTTCAGCTTGTATTATGTACATTTGTGTATTACGTATTTATATCACTATAGTGTATTTTGTTTTTTTCTTAGATATTCTATTTATTATTATAAAATGATATAAAAACTGTTGCACGTGGACTTTTTAATTTATGTTACTTTATTAACCGAAAATAAATTATTATAACGT